ATGGGAAGGTAGAAAACATTCCTTAACAGGGCATGGTCACACTGAAGTCTCTTCTCCATTTCTCTGTCCTGTCTGGATGTGGGACATGTACACACATATACCCAAAGTATTTTTGTTTTGTTTTGTTTTTCAGAGTGTGTATGTGCTGGCCTAAGAGAGGCAGAGAGAGAAAGCACCCTCCAGTGGAGTGTGGTCAGGCTGCAATCCCTTTTCCATTTTTCTGTCCTGTTAAATGTTCAAATATTAGTTCCTTCTCCATCTCTCCCTTTTAGGAATTTGGACATGCACCCATCCTTGGTGTGTTTTTCAAGCCACTGAGGCAGAATTTGAACTAGCCAGTGGCCAGGTGGGATCTGGTGGCTTCAACTACCAGATCAGAGAGCCAGTACTCAAGATATTTTTATACCTATGTTCATATCATAGAGCAACTAAAATAGGGAGGCAGCCTAAGTGTTTATCAATGGACAAATGGATAATCAAAAATCATGCCAGGTGCATGTGTATGCATGTGTGCCCAAAATCCCAAGAGGAGAGTGGTGGAAAAGGGATTGAGGCATGGCCATCTCCCTTTATCACTTTCCTTCTCTCTGTCTCTCTCTGGTGAGCACCCATACCCTATGACAAAAACATAAAAAAATAAAAATTTTGAAATTCGTGTGTAGCATTTTTCATAATAAACACTTTCCATAAATTTCTTGAGGACCCTAGTTGTTTTTGTTTTTGTTTTTTGAGAGAGATTCTTGCTATAGGCCGTGTGTGCTCATGAGAAAGAGAGAGAGATACAGAAAGCGAAAAATCACTCTCCCAAGGGGACAGTCACACTGCAATCCCTTCTTCTCCATTCTCCTTTCAGAATTTTGGGCACTCATGAACATGTCGGTGTGAGTTTTAAGCCACCAAAGCTGGGACTCAAACTGTCAAGGACCCCTAGTTTTGGATTGTTTTAAGGAATAAAACCTAAACTTCCCATAATAATTTATATGGACTTACAGTTTTCCTGGTTCTGGCTCGCTGTATACCTGGCTTGTTGTTTCCTTAAAAATAAGATTATGTTTATTTTATGGAAAATGCCATAAATTTTCTATTATAATGCAAATACTTTTTTCTTTGTTTTAGTAAACTAGGTAGTATTTTAGATAATTTTAACAGTTTTGCCTGGGCCAGGTGTGGATGTTATGGTGTCCACATGGCTGACTGCGTAGTTCTAGTCCTAGACCCAGCAGCTTGAAAGTTATGCTAGGCACATGTGCATGTGTGCCCAAAATCCTGACAGGAGAATGAAGAAGAAGAGATTGTATGGTGTGGCCATCTTCTCTAGGGAGTGATTCTGTCTCTGTCTCTCTTCTCTGGAAGACAAACCCTGTAGTATACTTTAATAATAATAATAATAATAATAATAATTTTGTCTTATATATAGGCTATTAGACTAGTCTTACATCTTCCATTAGACTATTTTCCCTATCTTTTTAAGAACAGAAACTAGCTTTCTTCACAGTGTCTTCATAAAATTTAATCTTCTTCCCTCTCTTCCCTGCCCTTGACTGTAATAGATCATCACAGGCCCTTTTTTTTTTCATACTCTGAACTAAAGCAATAGATTTTTCTGTTCGTTTGTTTGTTGTTACTACTATTTCACTAAAGTGAAAGAGAGAATGCACTCCTCAGTGAGTCATAATCATGCCTCAGTCTTTTTTTCCTCCATTTTTCGATTGTATCAGGATTTGGGGCATGGTTGGTATGTACACCCGGAGTGCTTTTCAAGCTATCAGGGCTAGAGCTCAAACTATTTGGCTCTGTGGGATCTGGCTTTCTATGCACAGAGCTTAACCACTGAGGCCAACCCTAGGCAATAGATTAAGGTAAAAAAAAAAAAAAAAAATAGGAAGTAGATTATGAGTCCTGGTGGAACTTTTAAAAATACTGTTCTTTATTGAACTAACTATAGCAGGCGACCTATTTCTTTTTTTTTTCTCTAAGATTTTTTTTTTGTTGTTGTTTGGCCAGCATGTGGTATAGTAGCTAGAGAGACAGAGGCAGAGACAGAAAGAGGGAAAGTGGTAAATCACCCCCAGGGGGGATGGCCATGCCACAGTCCCTTCTCCATTCTTCTCTCAGGTTTTTGGGCCTGCACAGTCATGCACCCAGCATGGTTTTTAAGCCACTGGGTGGGGACTCAGACTACAGTCACAGGCTTTCTATTTCTAACAAGGTAGTAATATTCTAAAGGTTTGGAAGTTGGGCTTTTGAAACTCAGAATAGAATTTTTCACAGAAACAATATTATTAGTATAGGTGATGAAATCAAGATAGTCTGCAGCAGACTTGCCCATAACACAAACTGTAATTAAACAAAGAGAATTATGATTAAATTGATATGATAAAAAACCTGTGTTTCTTTTGTATGCAAGTATTTGTGAAAAATCTAATAAGAGACTTGTAAAAATTTTGAACAGATACTTTCAAGAGCTTTTGACATTGATACTGTGTCTATCATATCTAATTTAATTTTTTCAATACCAAATAAAACAAAAAGTTCTTTTGAATATGTTTCTGCAAATTTCCTCACAGCCTTATTTGTTCATTCCAAGAAAATAATCATTGAGATCAACAATTGCATCCTCTTCTTTTTGGAAAAGTCAGCACCCTAGCACTATTTCTTTATGTGTGTGTGTGTGTGTGTGTGTGTGTGTGTGTGTACATATGTGTGTATATGTATGTATATGCACACATATATGTATATACATATATACACATGTATGTATATATACACACATATATATTAAATTATTATTCATACATTAAATTGCTATACATCATTTAGATTGTGAAGAAACTTTACCCAGTATGATATACACCTCAGTCCAGCCCAGTTGAGACCACCATATACATCCTTGTCAATACATAATAAACCTTATCTGTGTCCCACAAATGTCTTACCTCTCCATTTCCCCCCCAATTTTTTTATGTTCTTCCCCTCTCATGCTCTCTTTCCACTTTGTCTCTGGTGTCCATTACAATTTTTAATACTTTTATGTTCTCCAATCTTTCAGTCTCTGCCATAGAGTGCAGACAGTTGGTATATGTTAAGTGGAGACATGCAGTGTCTCTCCTTCATAGCCTGACTTGCTTCACTCAGCAACAAATCTTCCATATTCTTCCATTTTCTGTCAAAAGCCAGGGTTTTGTTGGTTTTAATGGTTTAAAAGTATTCCATGGAGTATATGTGCCACAATTTTTCAATCCATTCATCAGTTTGTGGACATTTGGGGTGTTCCATGTCTTAGCAATCTTGAATAAGGGTGCAATGAATATAGATGTGCAAGTGCTTTTCTGACTGAATGCTCCCCTGTCCTTTGGGTAAATACCCAGGAGTGGAATTGTTGGATCATATGGTAGTTCTATTTGAAGATTTCTAAATATAGACTTAAAAATAAAGTAATGCATTTACTACTATTGCTAAACTTCAGTAGTAATATATTACTGCAAAGTAATAAAATACATGTTTACTACATTATCTGAATATGTTCACTGTAAAATTACATATAGTGTAAACTAAATATATAACACATTATCATCTATAGGCAGTTTTTATCCTATAAATATCTCTATATAGGCTGGCCCACAACAGTCAGTTAATTTTTTTCATTCTTGAAGTACTATACATTTAATATTAATAGTTTAGTCAACTTTGCATTTTAAGAATATGTTTTTCTATTATAGGAGTTCCATAATTTTCTGACTAACTTATAGGAGCCTGTTAACATTTTTGCAAACATGTATTCTGAATATAATTTTTATATATAATTCTTTGCAGGGTAAGAGTTGTAGAAAGAGTAGGCAAAGAAGAAGTTTTATGATGAGAACTGACTATTAAACCATTAAGATCATGTCTGTACATGCCTTTTTTTCTTTTCTCTCCTGTTTCCATTGCCTCTAAGGAAACTAAGGTTGATACCTGGTGGAGTGAGGAAGCTGGGGAATGTGGGAGAAAGCCGAGCAAACCAGTTGAGGAATAAAGTATGTACATGTGTGAGTAGGAAGCAAGGATTACAGAGGGAACTGTTACTAGATCTCTATTCTTTTCTTCATTTCTTATATTTCAAAAAATACCCCATCAAATTTGCAAGCTCATTTTTATGTTGTTAACACAGCTACCTTGTAAGCAGCAAGAACTTTGGGTTAGAAAATACTTCTTCTTTATGGTACAGTCCTGTCCATTGTGCTGTGTTGCAGTGACCAAGGCAGGTCTCCTTAGAGTGCTCTGAAAGGAGTTAGTATAGAGTTAGATTATTATTTAGATGTTGATAAGTTTGGCATTTTAATTTATAAAATTGGGAGTGCTCAGTATAAAATGCAAATAGAAGTATTAATGGACAAAATATCTGAAGATTATATCAGGAAATTTTCTGGATTTCAGTCTGAAATGTCCATATTCTGAGTACGATAAGACTAACTCTATTCTAAATGTGTCTTGCCTTTAGTGCTAATAATTAAAACCAATAAAAAGGGAAAACAACTGTGTATATGTTATGACATTTAAAAATTTTTATTATTAGTTATTGTTAGAGGACACATGTGCAAGAGAGAGAGAGAGCACATCAAGAGGGTCTTGTAACACTGTGATCCCCTTTCCTAGCCCCTTAGCTCCTCAAGATACTGGATACCTTGCATTTTACAAGCATATTTTCAGGCTGACTTGGGGCTCTGAACCCACAGTTGGCCATATGGCTTATGGCCTTGCAGGGTACTTGTATTACTACTGTGCCACAGTGGCTGGGATAATATTTTACAAGCCCAATCCATCAGTCAAACATGTTATTTTAGCTGCACATGCTTGAAATTGGCCAATTCTTTACAGAGCTAAGCCATATTTTTTAAGTGTATATTTTTCTGATTTACAGGGAATAATAAGAAACATGATTTCAACTGAGTTATATCATTAGTGTGATTTAGTAATAATTTTTTTTTATTTCAGCTTTTTTATTGTTGTTTTTTTCCTAGGGTATAGTAGTCTTAGAAGAATCTCAACTTCCTAAAGACATTTTGAAAAAACAAAAACAATTTGCTGACCAAGCAGCATTGTTGAGCACTACAGAGACTCCTTCTATTCCACAAGAGAGTCAAGATCCTTTACCAGAACAAGATTTTGAAATGTCACCAAGTAGCCCTACACTACTTCTTCGAAACATAGAAAAACAGGTAAAGTCAGAGAAGGTTGTAAGTGTCATGAATAACATTGCACTAATTTTACAAACTATTCAAAAAACATGTGGTTTCCTAGATTATTAAAGTTGGCCATTTAATATTAAATATAATTAAGATTTGGTATATGACTGGTCTTTATGATAATGTTGATATAATTAAAATTATTTAAATATAAAATAAAGTTTTGATATATAGCTATAAGGTGATTATTTATACTAGGGTTGGAAAATCCTTTTTCTTTTATGCCAGAAGGAATGTACGCTTGACAGAGAAAGAGAAAGCAAAAGCACCTTTCTGTGGAGCGTGTTCAAGTCTCAATTGTTATTCCTCCATCCTGTCAGGATTTAGGGCATACATGCATACACATCTTTGGTGTTTTTCAAGCACTGGAGCAGAGATTTGATCCGGAATTTAGACCATTGTGGGCCCAGGTATGCACAGGGTTTAACCTCTGCTGTATGGAGCCAGCCAAGGAAAATCTTTTTTTTTTTTCCTGATAAAATTTCTTATCATTGTAAATTTTTCCATGGGTAGAGAGCAGTAATATCAGTTAATAAATCTGATTAGTTTGACTAATTTATTGATTGAGGTTTTTAGAGAAATACATAATGTTAGAATATAGTTTCTTTATAAAACAAATGATCATGTAACTGGAAAGTTAAAAAAGCCCTTAACAACTTACTTTGTTTCCAAACCCTCCCCTGGTATCTAAATTTAAAAATAAAGTTTTGATATATAGCTATAAGGTGATTATTTATACTAGGGTTGGAAAATCCTTTTTCTTTTATGCCAGAAGGAATGTACGCTTGACAGAGAAAGAGAAAGCAAAAGCACCTTTCTGTGGAGCGTGTTCAAGTCTCAATTGTTATTCCTCCATCCTGTCAGGATTTAGGGCATACATGCATACACATCTTTGGTGTTTTTCAAGCACTGGAGCAGAGATTTGATCCGGAATTTAGACCATTGTGGGCCCAGGTATGCACAGGGTTTAACCTCTGCTGTATGGAGCCAGCCAAGGAAAATCTTTTTTTTTTTTCCTGATAAAATTTCTTATCATTGTAAATTTTTCCATGGGTAGAGAGCAGTAATATCAGTTAATAAATCTGATTAGTTTGACTAATTTATTGATTGAGGTTTTTAGAGAAATACATAATGTTAGAATATAGTTTCTTTATAAAACAAATGATCATGTAACTGGAAAGTTAAAAAAGCCCTTAACAACTTACTTTGTTTCCAAACCCTCCCCTGGTATCTAAATTTATTGTTGTTGACTTCAGAATTTTAATTATTTTGCTCTATGTATTCTATATCCTTTGAAATCAAACCATTTATTTTGCTTTAGACTTTGGTGGATCTTGAATAAACCTGAATTTCTAGGAGGTTGTTATTTTTCTGGAATGGATCTGCCATAACATAGCCAGTCTGACCACAGCTACATGATTACATTGTCCACTGAGAAATAATATATGTTCATATCTGCCTGCATCTAATTTTCTTGGGCTTTTCTCATATATACTGTGAACTAATTTAGTACCAGATTATTGGCTTATTCCTAGTAAACAAAAATATGTTATAAACTTTCCCACTCCATTTTGTTCAATTTACAATTGCCTAGAGTTTTCCTTAATGGGAATCTATAATCAAAACACTTTTATGAATATTTTATAATTTAGAAAGTTATTCAGTAATAATCTGATGCTAAATTGGAATGTATTTTAGCATATAAGTATGTTTCAAGCTAATGTTGGTTATATTCTTATATTCCTACTTCTTCATTTTTCCTCCCCTCATCTCATAGGCTCAATCCCCTTTCAGTTTGATCTTAGTTGTTTTATACTACAGAATCATTTATTTGCTTGCTTGCTCAGTTAAGTCTCTTTTCTCCCTCATTATGTCACTACATTAATTCCTAAGAAACTAAGTTAATTATGAATATAGTACAGTTCCAAAGGAATTTTCTTTCTTTTCTTTTTGGTTAGACATATTTTTGCTACAGGTTGTGTGTGCACTCACCAAAGAGACAGAAAGCGAGAAATCACCTCCCAACGCTGGGGGGATGGCCTTGCCACAAACTGTGGCACATATACTCTATGGAATACTATTCAGCCATAAAAAGCAACAACCCTTTTGACAGAAAGTGGAAGAATATGGAAGATTTAATGCTGAGTGAAGCAAGCCAGGCTATGAAGGAGAGACATTGTATGTCCCCACTTAATATATACCAAGTGTCTGCACTCTGTGACTGAAACTGATTGACTAAAGGTTGTACAAACACAATAGATGGATGTGAATGCCAGATGTGGTGTGTGTGGAGGAGTGGGGCTTAAGGAAGGACATTTGGAGGAGGGATATGGAGAGATAGCATTGACGGGATGGGGAGGTATGGTGTTATCGGTTGAAGATATTTTGATCAACTGGACTGGGGAGAAATGTTCACATATTGAATTGTAAGCTAAATAATGTGATTGAATTTATATAAAAATTTTAAAAAATGAATAAAAAATAAATAAATAAATAAATAAATAAATAAATAAATAATCCCTTTTCCTCCATTCTCCTCTTGGGATTTCAGGGACATATGCACACGTGCCTGATGTGAGTTTTTTTTAAATTTGTTTATTTTGTTTGTTTTTAAATAATTATTTATTTTTATTTATTTATTGTTATTTTTTTTTTTCATATGAGTTTTGCCACAGAGAGAGAGAGGGAGAGAGAGAGAGATCAAGAAAACAAGCCGCCAGATCTGGCCAACCACAGCTCAAATCCTAGTCCTGGCAACCTGAAGAACATGCTGAGCACTTGTACATGCAGGCCTCAAATCATGTTCGGCCATATGGAAATTCTAGTGCCTTATCCACAATGCTATCTGCTGGCCCCCAGTGTGAGTTTTAAGCCACCAGGTTGGGACTTGAACAGCAGTTAAATGTGTGGGAATCCAGTGTTGTAACCATTATGCCATCTGCTGGTCATAGAATTTTCATTTTTTTAAAGAGATTTCTTGTATTATTTTTGCTTTCCTTGGTATCCCTCATTTATTTGGAAGACAATATCAGGGCTGGCTAATTTGTGGAGTCTAATGCAAAATAAAGTTGTAGAGAGAGCCCTTTGTTAGACAGTGACAGCAGAGTACAGGGCCTTTCTAAATGTAGCCCTGTGTGAGTCCGCAGGTTGCATACCCAAGAAGTTGGCCTTGGATAGCATGTGCCTTTCGAGTCTCATTGCTGATGGTAATATTAAAGGCTCCAGTAGTATAGGGAAATCAGGAGTTGGGGAGTAATAGTCATGGCTCACCCTGGGGAGACTAGAGGGAAAAGATGCAGGAAGAGGCAGTAGCAATTACTGGTAGGGGGTGTTAATAGACTGCTGATGGTCATCTGCTCTTGAAACATGGAAACAGTGGTTTTATATTCCAATTTTTAAAAAAATTAAGCTATTTTTAAGTACTCATTGAGGAAAACAGTGTAAGAGTGAATTAAGTGGTAGGAGTGGCAACCCCAATATTATACATTTTTTCCTTAAAATAAACTATATGAAACTGCTCACTGATAATCCTGTCTTGATTAATGTAGTTTTGTTAGAGTCGACAGTAAAAATACAAAGATACCACTGAGTTATAGACTGATACCACCTATTGGATGGTGTGGCACAGTCAATAGTATACCCAATTGCGTAGTTGGAAGCCAATACCAATTGGAATTTGAACTCCTAACTTCTAGCTCAGTCTTCTTGAAACGCCCTGGGATCTTGGTAGGCTGGAGGATTAGGAGGAAGGGGATCACAGCATTACTGAGCAATATAGAGCCTTGTGATGCTCTTAGGCATGCTTACAAACATTTTATCATGAGTGAAAAAAGAAAAAAACTTATTCATTGTATCAATACAAGCTTGCATTGTTGGACAATATATTTTGCTCATAAATTGAAAGACACCTTATTTTTAGTACTTTAGGTGTTTTCAGAGTTCAGATTATGCCTCTTAATTTTGCTTTTCTTATTTGTATTTTTCTTTTTCCTTTCCTTTTTTCTGTTAATTTTTACTACAGAGTATGTACGCTTGCTAGAGAGAAAGGGAATGTGAGTAATCACCCCCCAGGGAGGATGGCCATGCCACAATCCCTTCTCCTCCAGTCTCCTTTTGGGATGCATGCACGAGCCCATGGTGATTTTCAAGCTGCAGGGTCTAGGACTTGAACTGTGCATTCAGCCATGTGGGAGCCAAATCCTTAACCTCCATGCAACCTGCTGGCCCTTATTCTCATTTTTACTGTAAATTTCCATAACCTCATGTGGAGACTCAGGTATATGAAGTTTTATTAGGACAGAATAGGCTGGTTGTTGGGGTAAAACCAGGTGTTGTAAGGCCATAGTTCTATGTTCTGTGCCAGTTTCTCACATATACCCTGACCAGTAACCTCCAGTGACTGAAAAGATTTCAGATGATGTTTTGAGGGGGCAACAGTGAGAAGACTGTTTCATTATTTCAGATTAAACTGTGATGTGAATATTCCATAAACTGAAAGTGTGAGATAATCCATAAATTTAATTGCATGACCAAACTAATGAACACTTTACAAACATTTTATCATGAGTGAAAAAAGAAAAAAACTTATTCATTGTATCAATACAAGCTTGCATTGTTGGACAATATATTTTGCTCATAAATTGAAAGACACCTTATTTTTAGTACTTTAGGTGTTTTCAGAGTTCAGATTATGCCTCTTAATTTTGCTTTTCTTATTTGTATTTTTCTTTTTCCTTTCCTTTTTTCTGTTAATTTTTACTACAGAGTATGTACGCTTGCTAGAGAGAAAGGGAATGTGAGTAATCACCCCCCAGGGAGGATGGCCATGCCACAATCCCTTCTCCTCCAGTCTCCTTTTGGGATGCATGCACGAGCCCATGGTGATTTTCAAGCTGCAGGGTCTAGGACTTGAACTGTGCATTCAGCCATGTGGGAGCCAAATCCTTAACCTCCATGCAACCTGCTGGCCCTTATTCTCATTTTTACTGTAAATTTCCATAACCTCATGTGGAGACTCAGGTATATGAAGTTTTATTAGGACAGAATAGGCTGGTTGTTGGGGTAAAACCAGGTGTTGTAAGGCCATAGTTCTATGTTCTGTGCCAGTTTCTCACATATACCCTGACCAGTAACCTCCAGTGACTGAAAAGATTTCAGATGATGTTTTGAGGGGGCAACAGTGAGAAGACTGTTTCATTATTTCAGATTAAACTGTGATGTGAATATTCCATAAACTGAAAGTGTGAGATAATCCATAAATTTAATTGCATGACCAAACTAATGAACACTTGCTAAATGGATCATCTATTTGTACTGATAATAATGAGCTTTCATGTAAAAACATTGAGTAATAATTTTTAAAGTGAAGCCATTAGGTACATATTATCACTCAAGAAAATGAATGGTGGAAATATGTCTTTCTCATGAAAGACTTTATGAAGGAGTCAAATATTCAGCTTATCCTATCATATTCTTTAATTTTCTCTCTCTCTCTTTTTTCCATAGAGTGTGTGTGATCACCAGAAAGAGACAGAAAGAGAGAAAGTGTGAAATCACCCCTCCTGCAGGGACGAGAGCCACACCACAGTTCCCTCTCCTCCATTCTCCTTTAGGGATTTAGGTCATGCACACACACGTGCCAACATGATTTTTAAGTTGCTGGGTCCAGGAATCAAACCATGATCAGCCATGCAGGACTCCAATGCATTAACCACCATGTCACCTGCTGGCCCAATCTCATTTTCTTTAATAGCATGTTATTAGTTTCACACAAATGAAGAATTTCATAATAATTATTTCATATACTTTAATGTTTTCTAATAGAGTATCTTGTACTCAGTGAAAATGATGAAATAGGTCTACATGTTTTTTAAAGAGAGTCATACTATATACTAAGTGAGAAACCATGTTTTAGAAATTTAATTAAAAGTATGTCTGTCAGGGCCAGCAGGTGACATAGTGGTTAAGACTCTAGACTCCCATGTGGTGGACTGTGGTCCAAGTTCTGGACCCGGCAGCTTAAAACGCATGCCAGGCATGGGTGCATGCATGCCCAAAATCCCAAGATGAGAGTGAAGGAGAAGTGATTGTGGCATGGCCATCCTCCCAAGAGCGTGATTTCTGTCTTTCTGTCTCTGTGTTGAACTCATGCACCCAATGGAAAATCTCTAAGAAAACAAAGTGCATCTGTGCATGTTGTGTGTACTCTTGCTCACATACACTCAGAAAACATAGTCTAGAGGGAAAGATATTCCAAGATACTAGCAATGTTTTACTCTGTGAAGTACAATTACATTTTTAAAACTTTTCTGTATTTTTCAGTTTTTCTATGATGAATGTGAATTCCATATGTAATGAAAATAGTTTTTGGCTGACCTATAGCTTAGTGGTCAGGGGAGCTGGATCCCACATGACCAACCACAGCTCAAATCCTAGTCCTGGCAACCTGAAGAACATGCTGAGCACTTGTACATGCAGGCCTCAAATCTTGACAGGAAGGAAAGATAGAGGAATTGGATTGCAGCATGACCACACCCCCATTGGGGGATGTTTTCTCCCTCTCTCTCTCTCTTTCTCTGTGTATCTCTCATTCTCTTTTTGGTGAGAACACACACCTTCTGGCAATTTAAAAAAAAATAGTTCTCTTTCCTTTATAGAAATATACTATTAGGTTGTTGGGAGAATCATGATGCATTTTTGCATGGAAAAACACATCATGACTTTCCCAACAACCTAATATATTTATATATGTGGCCATTTTTTTTAATCACTGATGTAGGTGATTGTTTTGATAATAATTTAATATTTATTACATATACTTAAGTTTGGGATAGGACCAATGAAAAGTTTGGATAGTAAAAGAACCCTGCTATGTTAAAATTAGAAAATATTGAAAAACAGTTTGTAGTATTACACCTGTAGTATGAAACCTAAGTCTGGATTCAAATCCAAGTTCCAGTTCCAACTTGATAACCCTTGATCAAATTACTTAATCCATCTTTCTTTGCTATAATTTCTTTAGCTAAAATCAGTATTAGTAACAGTGACATCCAAAAATAGTTCTAGTATTATTTATTTGAAGGTTAATTATAAAGATTATGAATGGTCTATATTTGGTGCATAGTATAGTGACTGCTACGTAGTTAGCATTTAATAAATTATAGCTAATTTTTATTGTTAATTTGGCTTCCTCAAAGGGAGTAAATAGATACTATTAGCTGGGTTCAAATGTTTTAGAGGGCGAATGGGTAAATGAAGGAACTTTAATAAAAAAGGATATGGAAAAGAGTAGGTATTCTAGGGACCAGCAGTTAGCGTAATGGCTATGTTGCTGGACTCCCGTGTAGTCGACCGTGGTTCGCATCCAGGACCCGGTGGCTTAAAACTCATGCCGGGTGTGTGTGTGTGCATGCCCAAGATCTCAAGAGGAGAATGGAGGAGAAGGGATTGCAGCATGGCCATCCCCCCTGGGGGGTGATTTCTCGCTTTCTGTCTCTCTGTCTCTCTCTGTCTGTCTGGCGAGTGCACGCGCCCTATAGCAAAAACCTCTCAAAAAAAAAAAGAGTAGATATTCTAAAATGTAGATTTAATTATAATAAATAGAAAAAACAGTTGTGTAAGTTGTTGTAGATGAAAACATTTACTAAAATATAAACATTTATTGGTTTCATAAGAAGTTAAGCATTTAATAGGTACTGCAGGTCATACATTTCTTTGCTTAGCAGTAGTAAAAGGTTCACTGTCTTCTTTCAGAGTGCACAGCTGACTGAGATCATCAACAGTTTGATTGCCCCTCTCAACTTGTCCCCAACTTCATCACCACTCTCCTCCAAATCCTGTAACCATAAATGTCTGGCTAATGGCATATCCAGGAGGTAGGTTATCAGTGTAATAGTTTTGCTTCTAAATTTGGGTTTGCCTATTTTATATTATTTTGATTTGTTTTGATATTTTAAGACTCATAGCCGTGTGCGTGTATGTGTGCGTGTGTGCGTGTCTGTGTGTTAAGGTATTGGAGTACAATCAGTAGACCATGGCTATAAATCTTAGATAGCATAAAACTTACATAGTTAAGATAACCATATACCTAGGAATGCAGGAAAAAGTTTTCGAGGAAGTTTTATAATGTTTCAAAAGAGAAAAGCAGTGGTGAAAATTGCTATAGAAATACTGCCTTGTTTACTAGACCTTCTGTATTGTATTCTTAAGCCCCTTGAAACCTCTCAAAAAAAAAAAAGAGTATATATTCTAAAATGTAGATTTAATTATAATAAATAGAAAAAACAGTTGTGTAAGTTGTTGTAGATGAAAACATTTACTAAAATATAAACATTTATTGGTTTCATAAGAAGTTAAGCATTTAATAGGTACTGCAGGTCATACATTTCTTTGCTTAGCAGTAGTAAAAGGTTCACTGTCTTCTTTCAGAGTGCACAGCTGACTGAGATCATCAACAGTTTGATTGCCCCTCTCAACTTGTCCCCAACTTCATCACCACTCTCCTCCAAATCCTGTAACCATAAATGTCTGGCTAATGGCATATCCAGGAGGTAGGTTATCAGTGTAATAGTTTTGCTTCTAAATTTGGGTTTGCCTATTTTATATTATTTTGATTTGTTTTGATATTTTAAGACTCATAGCCGTGTGCGTGTATGTGTGCGTGTGTGCGTGTCTGTGTGTTAAGGTATTGGAGTACAATCAGTAGACCATGGCTATAAATCTTAGATAGCATAAAACTTACATAGTTAAGATAACCATATACCTAGGAATGCAGGAAAAAGTTTTCGAGGAAGTTTTATAATGTTTCAAAAGAGAAAAGCAGTGGTGAAAATTGCTATAGAAATACTGCCTTGTTTACTAGACCTTCTGTATTGTATTCTTAAGCCCCTTGATGTCCTTGTAATGCATTTTAGGGGAAAAGTCCTAGATGTAGTTTGGGCACAGAAGATTGGTAGATACCACCCATAAAAGTCAGCTTAGGGTTTTTTTGTTTTTTGTTTGTTTGTTTGTTTGTTTTCAGAGAGATTTTTGCTATAAGGTGTGAGCACTCACCAGAGTTAGAGAGAGAGATAGAGAATGAAAAATCATCCCCTAGTGGGGATGGCCACCCCACAATCCCTTCTCCATTCTCCTCTTGGGATTTTGGGCACACATGCACACATGCCCAGCATGAGTTTTAAGCCACCAGGCCCAGGACTCAAAATGCAGTCAGCTAGGTGGGAGTCCAGTGACATAGTCATTCTGCCATCTGTGGGTCCCATAAGTCAGCTTAAGTTTTAATCAACCATTTAGTATCTTAGCTTTTATAAAATAAATTATTTTCAGAATGAAAGTTATCAATTCTACAGTCATTAGCAATTTATCATATATATTTTATATCAGCAAAAATATATATTCCATAAGTCCTTTTTTGGGAACAGAATTTATTTTGCTTACTGTTCTCTATGTACTTTCCCTTTGAAAGATATAATTAAAAGGCATACTAATAGAATGTCATTTTGTGTGTATCATCTAATTTTTTTTAAGTAATATGGTAAAATTCAATTATTTCCTTTAATAACCATATTGAACTAAGTGTAATTTCATATTGGGAAATACTTAGATTAATAATAGTTCTACTTATTATTTTAAAACTTTTTAATGTAGCATAAAAAGATTTATACCATTGTGAAAATTATGCTAATTAGCCATCACATTGCTAATGAGATTAGTAGATATGAACCAAGTCTTAAAATAAAAATACTGTTATTTGATTTTTATTTCTAATTGGTTATTTTAAAAGTGTTTTTTAACACTTCAGTTTTTTGTGTTGGGTCACTTACCATTGTTCTATTATGGGAACCATTTTATTTGTTTTGCTTCATTTTTTATTAACATCAGATTCATTCCTTGTATTGATGATTCACTCTGAAAGGAAAGATTCTCACACGTTGTTCAGGACAGCTATTATCTACTCATATTTAAGAACATATTCTTGGGACCAGCAGATAGCATAATGATTACATCGCTGGACTCCCACATGAACAATCACAGTTTGTATCCTGGATCCAATGGCTTGAAACTCTCTGCAGGCATATGTGCATGCATGCTCAAAATCCTGATAGCAGAATTATTTGATATATTTATTCTTCAGGTTTTTGAACTGTACTGATATGTGTTTTGATCAATGACAGTATTTTGGACAGCAGTGAACTCTTCAAAATACCTTCTATGCAAAAAAAGTTTTGAGAAGCTTTTATTTTCACAATTATTGTCAAAATGTCATATTTCCTTTGAAAGAAATATTGCATTATTTTCTAACATTTGCTAGATAGAATAATCTAGCAAAGGAGGAGAAGAGATTGCAGCATGGCCATCCCCGCCCCCCCGCTGGGGCGGGGAGGAGGTGATTTCTTGCTTTGGGTCTCTCTATTTCTCCTGTAAGTGCATGTGCCCTTTAACAAAAAACTCTCTCTAAAAAAATAAAAAGAACATATTTTTATTAGGAAAATTATAATGTAGATGAGTAAGATACAAGGTGAACCATAAAACATCATCAAATTGGTATATCTGCATTGTGATTTAGGGCTAAGCCCACTTTAGAAAACACCATGTTTATCTAATTAGACACCACACTGTTACACATATATGTACATGTATGCATGTGTGTGTATCTATATATTCATATGCCATATGAAAATGATATATGCCATTAGCAGGGGTCGCCAACCTTCCCAGCACCAGGTACCAACCAGCCTGGTGGGAGAGAGTCCCTCCATGAACGAGGAAAGGTGCTGGTGGGGTTGGTCTTGGGATGAACCGAATATACCATATCCACCATGCCCCCATTTTCACCACTACCACATTGCTATAGACAATGAAACAATCACACAACAATAGTGTTTGTGTTTCCCTGAGAATCTAGTACTACTGTTGCTCCAACAGGAAGAAGAGCCCAGGAGTCAATGTAAGTGATAGGGAGTGGCTGCAAACACTGATGAAACTGTGAAACTTTGCTTGCTCACCCACTGCATGGCCTGCACTTTTCTGTGGCTTGCACTTTTCTCCAGCCTGGCAGTCTGAGGCTCAGCCCCCAACAGGCTACAGACTGGCAGTGGTCTGCAGCCCAGGGTTTTGGAACCTCTGCTATGAATAGTCAAAGCCCTAGAGGTTTATGAGCAAGATGACGTCTCCACCTGCAAACCACTCACAGTCTAGTGGGTAAAACACATAACTATTTAAAATAACATGTAATATAAATTAAATTGTGTACAGTTGTTTGAATACTGTACTTGGTTTTAATAACTGTCTTGGTTAATAAAGATATGTGGGCCCAAATGAAAGAAATCTAAAACTCAATCCTGTCTGCTAGTAGTTCAAAAGTTTTTGTTATAATCAATTGCCATCTTCCTTAATTTGAATTATTATACTTTTTCTTACAAACTGAAAAGTTTCCTTTTAAAGTCTATAATGGGTTCACAACCTACAAAAATTATTTGATATATGTGTTCTTCAGATTTTTGAACTGTACTGATATGTAAGTGTTTTGATTAATGACATTATTTTAGAGAGCAGTGAATTCTTTTCAAAATGCTTTCTATGTAACACATGTTTTGAGAAGCTTTTATTTTAAAAATTATTATCAAAATGTCGTATTTCCCTTGAAAGAAATATTGCATTTACTTCCTAACGTTTGCTAGATAGAATAATTTACTTTTTATCAAAGAGAATGTGACCAAATTTTAAACATTAGGGTTTTTATGTAAAATATATAATTTATCTTTAATTACTTTTTATAAATGCTTTGTTACCAGATAATCAACAAACTACTACGTAAAGCAGATTTTATTATATGCTCCTGATCTCATTAAAATGTTTCATAAAGAGTCTACTATTTATGATAATATATTCTATAACATATAAATCTATTTAACCAGGAACATAGAAACTTAAATATATTGCAGGTAAGAGAGTAATAACACTGAAGGAAAAGTAGAAAATTTTGAGGAAAAAGAAGTCAGGTGCCAAAGAGAGGTAGCGAGAATTTTCTATCGGTTTTGTCACAGTCGTATGAGTTGAGATCTTAGCAATAACAATTCAATGGCATGATAGAGAAAGAGGTAAGAGTGGGTTAATAAGGGAATTGCTGACGATGTAGAGAGAGGGAATTATCGGATTATAAAAGGCCACTGACTATAAAATCTATGATAAAAATGGACATACAAGGTCAAAAATGTATTTTTATTTTTAAGGTGAAAGAAATCTTAGTATCTTTACTTAAATAAAGAGAAGGAAAGGAATTAGAGTTGGTAAATATAGAAATTATTTTCTATAAAATTATGGAAGAATTTTATGACAGGAGAAAATACACTTGTTCTTTAAATATGGCATGGAAGAGATTAATAAAGGTATTAATGAAGTTATTTAAAAAGTGAATTTAGGCCCAGCTGTAATGGTACAGCTGTAGTGCAGTGCTCTGCCATGCTGGAAGCCTTATGGAAGGTCAGGATTTGGTGGCCGGGTTGACCTGTACATGCTAGGTGTGTGTATGCCTGTGATCCTAGCCAATGAAGAAGACTTTGGAAAGGATCACAAAGACTTTCGAAAGCTGTGAGACTCTGTTAAGGTTGCTTATCTTTCTCTCTTTTCTCTCTATCTCCATGAAAGAAATAATGACAGAAACTTTAAAAAGGTCAATGTGTTCATGTTAAAGAATGGGAAAGGGAGCTTCAGGACTTAGGTGAAGTTTCAAATAGATACTGACAAGTATAATATTGTGCTTTCCCTCCCCTTTCTTTTAAAATTTATTTATCTCTTTTGTTCAAGGGATTGAAGTAGGGGGGCCAGCAGGTGGCATGGTGGTTAAGGGTGCTGGACTCCCACATGGCTAACCATG